TTGGGGCCTGTTTGGTTGTACTTTTCTATTTATGTATTTCTATCTGCGACACAATTCACAAGCGAAAGATTCAGGATTTGTCTTTGGGGGCACTGTACGGTATTCTATAAAGTATTTATTTAGTTAACTAATTTTACCTACTTCACATTCACAAAATCCTATTGTGTTGCATTCAGAGTAGGCCAGAAGACACCCGGGTCTTTTATTTTGATGGATGTGGACACTCAGACCCCAGTTACACATCTCTACTAAGTCCAGAGTGCACACACACACACACACACACACACACACACACACACACACACACACCCACCCACACACACACACACCCACACACACACACACACACACACACACACACACACACACACACACACAGCTCCCGAGCAGGCAGGCCGCAAAGGAAGGAAGTCAATATTTGAGGAGTTAAAGCTACCTAGCCTCGAAATACGCCTCTTTTACTGTGGGCAAACTAAAGACTTTATACTCCAGTGCTGCTTTTAGTTTAATCCCACTCTGTACTCATGTCAGTTACAACCAGTCACAAACAATAAACAAAAAATGTCAGGGTGATATAGTTAAAAGTCTATATGTACAGTATAGTGTTGGGAGGGCGGCGGGGGGGGCTGTTTGCAAATTGACCTTCTTAAAATAACGTCCACGGAATGTCGTTTTCTTTTTTTTCCCCCAGAAAAGACGAAAACAGAACCAAATATGGATGATATGTATTAATAATTTGATTTCAAGGAGGGAATTGAATGATGTTCATTTCTGTTTAACTAAGGATGGAGACGATTTTAGGAGAGGGGACCAGCATCATTAGAAGGAAAAAAAAAGTCGAAATATGACTTGGGCCTATATTTTAAGGTTATAGATTTTATATTCAATCATATGTACTTTAAACACTATTTTAACTACATTTGGAAAGGGTCACTTTGACCTACAGTGTCACAAGAGGGTTTAAGTAACGACTTTATACTCATATTTGGCTTACAGCCATTGGAGACATCAAGTCCACCTAAAGCGTCAGAACTGGTCGGATTTCCAAAACCGTTCTCAGCTCAAAACCTCCACCCCAAAATAACGTCACCCATTGTCAGGATACAACCATGATGATAAATAAATGACTTTGTGCAACAATCAGGGAACAATTTGGATCCGTTTTGGGGGCTGGCTGGAGCAAGAACGACTGCAATAGAGATAAGATCAGCATTCAAGAGAAGGTAGAACAGAATTGCTAAATGTTCCTTTACCACGCAAATATTTACAGGAAGCAAGCTAAGCCAACTTGCAAACTCAGGGTCAGTAAATAAAGTGATCTTTTTTTGTGTTTGTGTGTGCATGTGGCATTGGCGAGCGTTTTTTTTTTTTTTTTCGAAACAGGCCTGTGTTTTTTAATTGCTAGTTTTGTGCGGAACATGGTGTGCTTTAAACTCAGACTGACATTTCAAATGACTGTTTTCGGAGTACGGTTCGCGGGATTTATTTGAAAGAGGAACCAGGGCTCGCCAGATTGCGAGAAACTGGAAATTTTTGTTGTGCTCATCGGCACACCTGCACACTGGTCCTCAAAATGACATCTGGTGACTCTTGGCGGTCCACCATTCATAACTTGGTGATGTGCAATTAAAAATTATGCAAAATCTGCTTGTCTAAATACAAGGACCAGCGCCCCGGTAAAATTAAACCAATTACCGGTACTCCTCCCTACCTTAGCTAGGGACAATTAAAAGCATAACAAACAGAAAAAAAAACATTGAAAACAAGTCTCACCTTGAGAAGCAGTGTCATGCACTGCACTTTTTGTACTTCAAAGTTTATGGATTATGGAGTACCTGCATTTGATTTGTACAATGGTTGTTTAAAAAAATAAAATAAAATTAATATTTTTGGTCAAATGTTTACGACAAAATACTTAATTGTGATTTCTTTTTTTTTTAACCTTGCACACAGGAAATACACAAAAAAAGACAAAAAAAACTAATACTAAATCTAATAAACGCTAAACTAAAATGACACTGACAAACTGCTGCAACCTGGAGTGAAATGCAGTCTACAAAGCTTTAACGGTCATGAGATGCGTATTGCAGAGCACGCCAAAGGGGGAAGGACACCGATAACCTGCCACAGGAAGCTTTTGACGTCAACTGTGAACGGCAATGCACTCATTTGCATTCAAAGCACTGTCACGTAACGTGTGCTCACAAACACATGCACGCACACCGGGGGAAATTACCTGCTTATTGTTTGTAAGAGACTGACAAAAATTCGTGAAATACAAAGTAACCGAGAGACATAAGTGATGTAATTAGATTAGTCAGACTTGTCATGTAACACACTGTTAATGCTTCCTCACTAATGACTTTTGGTATGTAAGTACAGCAAATGTCACCTTAGACCAGTGCTTCTCAAAGTGGCACGCGAGCTTAGCTCAGTTCTGTTGTATTTAACCGTTGAGTACAATAAATTGGTGTTTAACCTTGAAAAACTGTTTGTTCTTAAACTTTTATCTGGGTACAGTTTGATCGTAATATTTTGAAAGTAGACAAACATGAAGTTATTTTCTGTTCAAGTGCTTGTAATATTACTCAAGTACCACTTTCAGGTACTTTACACAAGACTGGTATTCGTGTAGTTCAAACTGGGTGGGGTGTTGTTATGTTGTTGCCTCAGTTGAATTAGAGACTAAAAAAAACAAATAAATCCATGTCATACAAAATATGCTCCAGAAGCAGATGGAGCTGTCCGTTATGACTTCGTGGTGAGCAGATGTGGCCGGAAGGAAAGCTGAAAGTGGTGGGGTGGAGTGGGGTGGGTGTCTTGGGATCAGATGGGATGGAATGGGAAGGGACGGAATCCGGGGGAGATCGACCCCGGAGAGACACAGAGGCCTTTCCCCCATGCGTGCATAGTGCGCCTGGATGATCGCGCCAACAAGACATCAACACTGAAAAGAGCACTCCATGTCGAGTCATGTTGGACATGCAGCTGCACTGTTAGAATGAGGTCACGTTTGCTGCGTATGCACTGTTTCTGCATTCTCTATTGTCGATCTCTGGAGCTTATCGAACAATATCACTTATTAACACTTCCTTCATTTTCCCACATGTGTTTGGGAGATTTTGTTAGGGTCCAGTGAAACCAAGGTTGAACTTTTTGGACCTCATTCCAAAAGGTATGTGTGGTGCAAACATAACACTGGTCATTAGCAAACGAACACCGTATCTTCAATGACGCATTGTGTGTGGCGGCATCGCGAACGGGGCTGCCTTCAGCTGCAACTGGTCAGTCTTGCGAGGATGTATGATAACGTCCAATTCGCAGTCATATCTATGACATAAATTCAAGCCGCTTTATTATCCATTAAAAAATATTAATAATGGGATTGCAACCTTAATTGCCTCATTAATCAAGTCTATGTATTCATCTACCAGACATTCCATCTCAATAACCATTTATGTATCAAATCACACTTTTATTTACATGAAACAAATCAACCAGGCTTGACATTTCAATGGGGTTTGATTGCTTCTGTCTGTAAACTGCCATGGAAGGCCTACATTGATCCATGCACAAATAATGCACTTCCTCTTTCCAAGTGTCTTTGTCCAAAAGGCAATAATCCCAATTTGGAGGTGTTGTCGTTGCCATGGTGATGTATTCAAACCCTTAATAGGGGCAACCTTTGGCTGGTTAAAAGCCCCTATCTGAAGGAGGGAGTCGGGAAGGGAGGGCAGCAAGGGGTGTGGGTGGTGGTTCCGCAGCAAACACACACACACACGCACACACACACACACTAGGATGTCAAAGAGAAAGGAAATTCACACTCATTTCCTGCGTGTGGTTTCGGTACAAATCAACAACATCCTGTCCTTTTGTGAATCCTGCCTGCCCTCATGCTGGTTTGCCCCCCCCCCCCAACATCACCACCACCACCAGCACCACTCACCCCCCCCAACACACACTATCTCTAATAAGGGTAGCAGCCATCTCCTCCTCCCCCTCCTTGTGTGCGTGTTTCTTCACACTAGAAGTACATACACCTCATGTTGCACAGGAAGGAAACTGTATCTTTATAGTGTTGTTTGTCCAGGTTCCTAAAAGGCACCGTGTACTGACATAGCATGAACCTATACTGTGTACTATATAACCTGATTCCATCTAACATCCAACATTGAATTTACTAAACATCTCTGCCATCCATCCATCTATCTATTCTTCCATGTGCCTGTCTGTCTAGCGAGCTCGCTATCATCTATCATCTCTTCAACCATCTGTCAGCTATCATCTCGCGGCATCTAGCTATCATCTATCAAGTCTTCAGCCATCAATGATCAAGCATGTCTCCAACAAGCTAACTCACATCTATTGAACATCATCCCTCCAACCGTTTATCTAGAAATAGCATGTACAACATACGCACGGCGGGTCCTGCGTATCACTTCATATTTAAGATGACATTAATTTACCACAAGGAGAAATTAAACATCAATCAAGAAAATAGCCATTTTGGATGGTCGTCATGGACATTTAGAGCCCCTTTAAAATGGTCTGCTATGGAGTTAACGATCATCGCAGATGTAAGGAAGAAAGCAAAGCCTGCTGCTATATGCATAGATAAATGAATTAGAGGAATAAAGGCGTTCATGTAAATTAGACCTGACATTGCCCTTGTGACGACACAAAAAAACCCAAAAAAAAAACACCCCCTGCCTTCCTCTCTCTCGTTTCATTCACCATTCCTCCCCATTCACATTGCAAAAAAAAAAAAAAAAAACTTGACGCGACGCATGCGCAGCACCACTCGGAATCCTCCCCATTCATAAAAATGTAACCTCCCGAGTCCCAGTCCCTCCCATTCACAAAAAAAAAGAAAAAAAACGACCGAGGCAACTGCGCAGCACCCCCTCCTCAGCCCTACCCTCCCCCCCTCCTCTTCCTCCCTAACCCTCCCATTCATAAAAAACTCAGCCCACCCCTCCTCTCCTCCTCCCCTTCTTCCTTTTTTTCCTCCTCTCGAGGAGGTTGCAACATCACATCCAAAAGCTGCGCGTCCACAACCGCAGTCGCCTTTTTACGCACCAGCAGGCTCGGAGGAGAGCACGACAGATCGCGTCCTCTCTCCACCACCACCGCCCCCCGCCCCCCTCACATTTTTAAATCCTTGCTTTTTCCCCTTCCATGCAGTTGGACTACTTAACACTGCTATTGGAGCTATCTATACTCGCCACACGCAGCCGATTGGGAATAATCGACGTGTTGCGCAACGACGAGATGACATTTTTACCCTGAGAGCACCGTAAGTACGCTTGGTTCAATGTGGATGTTTAAAATGAAATCAAATAATGATTACGGTTGCACTGAAGGAGAATCGCGAATATTTTGCAACAAGCTCGAGTCGTGTTTGCACTCGGAGTCAATATTTAACCAGCGCCAAGCAAAGTTGAGGGCAGAGGAAGGCGAACTTATGACGTTTAATGTGTGAGGTGGGGAATGACAGCATATTGCTTATTTCGTGTGATTGTTTTATTTTTCTGCTATTGATCAGACTGAAATCTTATTTTAAAACAAATATGACAGGTGCCCCCCCTCCCAACCCGCCTCACCACCCCGTTTTTTCACCAACATCCACAAGTCGTTATCAAATGCATGACAATATGCAATCAACAAATCAATAAATAATAAAAAGCGAGAAGGGTCGTTTTGTGAGGGGCAGTCTGACTAACCAAGCTGGCAACATTTAAACGCAGCCGTGCGCCATTTCTTCCCATCAAGGTTAACCCGTGCCCGTGTCCATTTGCATACATCACGTGTTACAAAGCCCATATAAACACGCTATTTTATAGAGATAGAGCGTCCGCCTCCGGGTTTTATGACTCAGTCCATTCACATATCGAAGGGAAGGGAGGGAGGGTGGGGGGGAGGGGGGCGTGCACGCACACACACACACGCAAGTCCCTAAAGCTCATGCACGCACAGTTCCGGCTTATAATGATCCCGATTTGATCACAAGCGTGTGTCGGTGCCAGCGGTGCAACAACAGGTTTGTCAAACAGGATTTTGCACATTCTTTACAAATGAGTAAATCAAAAACAAACGAACAAGGAAAAAAAAAACAAAACCGTGCACATGCGCACGCTTTTATTCCATGCCTTGACTAGAAACAGTATGGAAGGCGATAAGAAAAAAACGAAGATCAGGTTTTTAGACGGTGAACACGTCACGTTGGATGCGAGGTTGCTAAAAGAGAGCGAGAGAGAGAGCGAGCGAGAGAGAGAGAAAGAGAGAGAGAGAGAGAGAGAGAGAGAGAGAGAGAGAGAGAGAGAGAGAGAGAGAGAGAGAGAGAGAGAAAGAATCGTCATGACTGCAGCGCTTTGAGTCATGCTTGCAACTGCCAGTGCAGCCAAGCAGCGTTCATTCACAAAATCGACGGCGACAGCCCAACAATACGAAGAATCATTCACAATTTGGGCACACAAACAATGCCCGTTAAAAATGAAGGGACGCTGACGAGAAGATACAAAAATATGTCGTTTTCCTCTTTATTTTCCATCTTTTTTTCATTCTTTGCGCCAAGGAGGGGGGTGTGGGGGGGTCTTTCGACAGCAAGTCCAGCTATGTGGTGCTCCCTCCTCTTTTCAAGCCAGGCAAAAAGAAAAAATAATCGACATCGAATTCAAATCAAGCGTTAGAAACTGCCAGAAGGAGGTGTGCGCCGCACCATCGTTGTCAAGTCTGTATTTTTTTTTTTGATCATTTTTTTAAGTAGGTGATTCATTCATACAGTATAAACTGATAAAAATGCTGGTGAATGCTCAGAGGTGCGACAGAAATGAGAGGAAGTAATTTAAGGGGGGGGGGAACGCTATAAGTACATCATAGCGTAGATAGGAATCCCCATACATCATGCAAATATGCCCTCGAGTGAGTTTGAACGGTGTACGGATGACAGAAGAATAATCATATTTGACACTTTGTTATTTAATGTAGGTTCCGGTGAATAAAAGTGCTAAATTGCATCTACGTGATCAATAGCAATCATGTGCTTGAACGCAAAGACGAAGTGCAGGGGGTCCTCGGTTTATGATTGAGTTCCATTTCAATGACACAGATGTAATTTGGGATTGAGTCTGTAAACGCTGTAGTCAGGAGTAAAGTCAGATCGCAAGCCAAGAAATTTCAAAGACTGTAAACTGGATGCCCGAGGTCTTCACTGTCCTTTCTTTCATTGTAGTTGGGCTAATTGCTGCTTTAGAGTGACGACGTGCCAGGTACCAACCAACACATGGAGTCCAGGGTTCCTCACCACATCCCAGGAGTGTCGTCCTCCATCGTAGCCCAGCCTTTGCTGGACAGCCGAGTGCCCTACGGCCGCCTGCAGCACCCCGTCACCATCTACCCCATTGATCAGATCAAGTCCTCGCACGTGGAGAACGACTACATCGACAGCCCCGCCGTCGTCTCTCAGCAGCCGCCAAGTCAGAAGGCGGTGAACAGACGGCTCAACTGGGCCGGTCCCAACCAAGACGGGTTCGTGGGGGCCAATCACAACAACCATCACAATCACCAGCACCACCACCAGGGCCGGTGCGAGCCTCACCACGACACCACCACACACCCATGGATCTCCTTCAGCGGGAGACCCAGCTCAATCAGCAGCAGTAGCAGCACGTCGTCGGACCAGAGGCTGCTGGATCACGCCGCGCCTACCCCCACCGTGGACCACCACCCGAACCCGCACCCCCACCAGGGCCTCATCAACACAATCACTACTCGAACTCCGGGCTGCTTGGCTTCCTCGGAACCTAAAGCCCTCACTTCCTCTTCTTCCACTTTCTCCTGTACCTCCTCCTCTAAATCGCTGGACCTCAAGTCTGGGAAACTGCCCACGGGGAGCCAGCAGGGGTCGGCCGTGATCCCGTCCTCCCCGGCCGAGAAGAAACACCTCCTCCTCTGCGAACACTGCGGCAAGTGCCGATGCACCGAGTGCACCCTTCCCCGGACCCTGCCCGCCTGTTGGGTCTGCAACCAGGAGTGCCTGTGCTCCGCTCAGAGCCTGGTGGATGCGGCCACCTGCATGTGCCTGATCAAGGGGATCTTCTACCACTGCACCGAGGACGAGGACGACGAGGGCTCCTGCGCCGACAAGCCGTGCTCATGCTCGCAGGCCAATTGCTGCGCGCGCTGGTCCTTCATGGCCGCCCTCTCCGTCGTCCTTCCCTGTCTGGTGTGCTACCTGCCAGCCATGGGCCTGGCCAAACTGGGACAGAAGTGCTATGACAACGTCAGCAGGCCCGGCTGCCGCTGCAAGAACTTGCAGGGCGGTGACCCGGCGTGTAAAAATGGAGGCGTGGAAGCGAAAGCGGGAACACTTGAGAAGCAGCAGCAGGGGTCCTGATACCAGGACATCCTGTCTGCCGTTGGCCTTGCTTAAAAACAAACTGGACAGCACCACAGTACATGTTCAATCTCTAGGGACTCCTTAACCAACCCCATAATCTGCTGGAAGATGACTCGTGTAAAACAAAAAGGTACTTAAATAGCTTCTCGACCTGTTTTTTGAAAGGCTTGATAATTAAATCCGAGTGTTGGCTGGTAGGAAGAGTCGACGAGCTCTTGGGTTAGAAACCAACACCCTCGGACCGACCGCAGTTTGGGTTGTTTTGCGAGGACAACCAAAGGCACATTGTACCCTCAGCTAACTTTGTAACTAACCATAAGATGACCGTGGGATAATATATATACATAGAGGCTAAATTATGGAGATAAATATCTATATACAGCCCTTCCCTGACCCCAAAAGCACAGCCTAGTGTCCCGCTTTGAACACCAACAGTTGAAATGTGCTAGCTTGGTAATGCTAGTATTTCATATATTGCCACAGATTGTCATTTAAAATTCCCCTCAATGTCTTGAAAAGCGAGATAATCGCAATTTTTCAGAAAGCGAGACTGACACCGTCAACTCAGCCTTCAGGCTGATCCTGGATCAGTTCAGAGGCGGCTAATTGCTAATCGCTAAAGTATCGTAGACCCAAACCTCAGGGACTGTCCTCTAAAGCTTTAGAACATGTGCTGCATTCAAGATGGGAAGTTGCCAATATGCCCTTCACAGCTTCGACGTCAGAGTCAAACAATGATTAACTACTACCAAACAATTTAAGTGCAAAACAAGTTGTGTTATGACAGAGTGTAGGATGCCAGATTATTGCATACAGTATCTGTGAAGTTGAGTTCGGAGATGTTACTCGCTACTTCGAGTGGTGCGGCGCGATTGTACAAGAAACATCTGACTTTCCACTTCTCTTGAATGTAGCATATGAGTTGCTAAGCTAAAATCTACTTCCTGTTTGCACCAAAAAATGTGCAAAAGGAAAAGTGGCAGGCAGAACGGCGGTAGCTAATAATTGTAAAGGTAAGAAAAACAGAAATGTGCTCCCCATGGGAAGGGGGCTGGATTAAAGACAGTGTTCGGTCAAGAAGAAAAAAAAAAAAATTAAACCCACCACTTGCACAACGCTGTTTTGTTTTTTTTTCTTAGGTGGAAGCTAACCCCTTTTAAAGAACGTTCTAAAGCACATTACGAACCACCTCAGCTGTTCTGAGGTATGTGCGCTACTTTTAGCGCGGCCCGAGTGTCTTCATCGTCATTAGTGCCGCATAGCGTTCTCTTTTAAAGTCTATTTTTGTGGCTTGCATGAGGACTTTTTTTCTTTTTGCCAAAGGAAGCGAACGTATGGTAGCATGTCATCGCTGTCCGAGGTTATCACCCCAGTGGTTATGCACTAACGGGGAGGGGAGGATGATGACACCCATTTCTCCCCCAAAATATGAAATAAAATAATAAAAAAAAGCATGCTGCCCTTTAAGACTGAAGGCCTTTTGTGTTTTGGGCATAAAGGGATATTTGGTCTTTGTTTCTCCATTTTCACGGTAGACTGCTAAAACTCCTTTGCTCACTATTGTCTTGTTGCACAAAGCTGCTTACACACTGTCCATCGAATGTATGTGGCAATATTAAAAAAAAAAAAACAACAAAAAAAAAAAAAAGAAAGAAAAAAAAATCTGTTTAGAAAAAGGTGCCAAAATCGGAGAACAGCGGCGGAGCGTGTGGACGAAAAATCACAGACGATGATGTTTAGTAATAGAAGCTATGCAGGTGAACGAGTTATTTGCTGTAAATAATTTCACGTTTGTGTTGTTTAGAGGAGAAGACTTTTAAATGTCCTTGAAAGGTTGCATGGTACACTATAACTACGACTAATTACAAAATACATAGAGAATATATTAGTTATCTATTTTGAGGGTAAGGGAGCAAAAAAAGATATTTGAGGATTTGTGTGAGAGGAAGCACTTGAATTGGAAAAAGTGTGCCCTGCAATAAAATATTTTATTTTATTTGCATTTTTTTTTATTTTGGGAAAAACTCCTGCTGTTGATGCCCTCCGTGGCTCTTTAGCAGACAAAGGCTAAGCTAACTCCCTCGCCTGTGGATTTGTGGAGTGCACAGAGGGAACACAATCCACCCGTGTCTGGATTGACTCATTTCCTGCTGCTTCCCCTTCTTTTCAGTCTTGATTGACAAACACAGCTGCTCTGCATACATTTGTGCCACAGCTCAAGGTTGTGTTGTTGCCACCTGTTTTGCCTGTCTTTCCCAACTGTCTGCCTTTTGAAAGCTGCCTCGCTTTTACATTATATATTTTACATAGAGTAAATCCTGAAAATGATGACACTATTATTATTATTTCTTTTTTTTTTCCTCGGATGCTACACCGCCATCACCCTCTCCACCTGTGTCGCTCACTTTGGGGCCAATTATACTGATTATGCCTTTGCAACAGCAATGTTTGGGGGAGCGAAGAAGTCAGTGCTTTTTTTTGTTGTTTTTTTGTTTTGTTTTGTTGTGTTTAGAAATAACAGAAAGGAGAAAAAAAAGCTCTCATATAAAAGTTTTCCCTTTATAGATATATTTATTTTGAAGTTCTATTTTATATAGTATTTATTTAGATGCCAACTTTCTGTTTGTGAAGAAAGCTTATGTTGCAATGGAATGTACATTGACAATGGAAATATATATTGTTAAATACAACAGGTTGTTGTTTTGGCTCTTTTGTCGACTCCTTGTTCAGAGCACAAAATGCAAACATACACGATGGAGGCGACGTTCTTGAAAAACTAGCGTTTGAAAGATATTTGTCAAAGAGCTCTCTAAGAAAGACGGAATTTGAAATTTAAATTAAACATTTACATTGTACTACTGGATAGAGTAACTAAAAGAAAAAAAAACAAGATACGCCAAGTTGCTAACTAAAACAGACATTTTTACTTAGTTTACAGGATAACTAGCTTAGAAAACTTGTTAAAAGAGATAGGCTAAGTACAGTAGTTACGGAAGGTAGCTATATTTTGAATACAAACACCAATCCTCACATTGTACCAATAGATTGACAACCTAACTAGGGTGGTTAGAAAAGTAGCTTCGGCCGACTAATGGCGATACGTTGCTACCTAGTACTGTAAACCGATAGATAGGTTAACTTGCTACAAAAAGCATTTAAAGCTAAGTAAGTCACCATAGTTAGATGGATCAACAGATATTTTTTGCTAAGAAAACCATCTTGCTAACAGAAATAAGTGAATCAGAAAAAAACAACTTCACAAGTTAAGCAGCAACGTCAGTTGGATAGATTGATAGATAGATAGCCGAAGTGGTCAAGGCAATACAGGAAGACGCGCTAGCTAAGAAATGGAGCTAAGTTATGTGGCTAACATATATTTAGCTGCAAGCAATAAGCCAAGTAGAAAATACAATTTACAAATCTACAATATGGGTATCTAAGATAGATTCATTGAATCAATTATAGTTCAATTTCAATATTGCTATGTCAATATACTCTCCACACATTCTGACTCAACGTTAGGTCTTTTATAGAGACTTTCGTGACTAACTGCTGTTCTTTGTTTTTGCTTTTATGGCGCAGCATTTACAAGGGTTTTTTTTACATCACCGTGCGGACTTCCTGAGTCGCACACTTCCTGTGTGAGAATGGATCGCACTTTATAAAACATTGGCGGGCCCACCAAGGCCAAATAAAGCGTTGACTGAATGGCGAGCGTTACATAAGTCTGAGAAAATCGTTGTCAGATGCGAACGATGTCATGCGATGTGTGTGTGTGTGTGTGTGTGTGTGTGTGTGTGTGTGTGTGTGTGTGTGTGTGTGTGTGTGTGTGCGCGTGTAGTTTAAATTACAAGTATACAGTGTTGGTTCGTGACAATCTGGATGTGTCACATTCCTTTCCCCACAAGGCCTGCTGAAGCTGAGATTGCACGCTAACGCTTCCACTCTCCAGCCCACCTGTGCTGTATGTTACCCGAGGCCTTCTGGCTTCTCTTGGTGCGCCCCCCCCCCCCACCACCACCACTGCACCCCACCTACGACATTTACTTCCTGGGTGTTTACCTGAGCACACCTGGGAGTGACGAAAGAAGGTGGTGAATGTGTGAGACAGCAAGAACGCAAGAAAAAGGACGTCTCGCACACACAAAAGAGGCCCCGCAGCCACAACTGTGACTGCTGCTGCAACAGGTGAGCAACCTGCCTGTTTACCTGTCGCCTCTGTCAACACACACACACAAACACACACACACTCCTGCATTTTAACTTCCTTCACACCTATGTTGTGATCTCCACCCTCACTTCCTAACCGTCCGCATACTTATCAACACAGGAAACTGCCACTATTTATTATCAACTACAATGTAAGGTGTTCGTGTACAATTCAATGAGATGAATGGCAAGTTACAAACACGTGATGGTGCACTCCATTTACCATTTTAATCAATTTGGATTTTTCATCTGTTGGACTATGATGTGTGTTATTTTTTTCAGCCATTTCAATCAACCAGTAATCTAATATGTTACTGCAACCAATATATGTCGTAGGCTGACTAAGGTTACTTCTCAAAGACTTGATGTGTTACATTTTGACAAAACAAAAATGAAAAAAAATGTTCAATTGCCACTAGCCTGTAGAAGCGAGTAATATGGGGTGCATTGATCACCACAACAAATTCAGCCAACGGTCTGGTACATGGATGGTTTGCACATGCAACAAAACTAATATTTAATAAATAATAAATATATGAGGCAAGAGGTACACAACAAACAACTGTACATAAAGGAAGCTATTCAACGGTGAAGCATTATGGGACGCAGTCATCGATGTCATCTCGGGGGAGTGACGCCACATGCACCAAGTCACGTTTTCAGCACGCTCACGTCTCCATACTAATGAAGTAAGTAGAGATGTTTGCGTTTTCAAGATGGAAATACAATCCCGATGTTGAGTTCGTGTCAGGTAAAGATGAAAATATTCAAGTTGGTTGTACGCTCCGTACTGTCAACAAAGTGTTATCTCGCTTCGTGGACACCCATGAAAGCATGTATGTTGTTTGCCCAAACACACACACGCACACACGCACACGCGTACACACGCACTTAGCATCAACAATGCATAACCCCTCCATCCACTCCTTCCCACAGCGGATTTCAACAGTAAAAAGAAGCCGAGTGTGACAAGACGACTTCAGCTGCAGGAAAAACACACATTTCAACACTTGCCGTGATTGGGGGGAGGGAGAGGGGTGCTGCCGGGACAGTCAGAGGAGAACAGGGAGCAGCGGAGGTGCCCGGGTGTGTAGCGGCAGGGGGGCCCAGCCTTGAAACATGTCAGTCAATGAGAGGGTGGATTATGTCGCCTTTTATCACGCAAGGAACCCTATTTGGTCGAAATGAGGAAAAGAAACACACATGCTATTCGATTGTCTTGCAGTATTAGCCGTCACAGTCTCCACTTGGCTGCAGCAGCCCGTTCTATTGCTGCCCTTAGTCTCCTCTTGAATAAAAGTATTTAATTCCACCTGAGTGTGGGACAAATAAAGGATATCTTATCTTATCTTATCTTATTACAACGGCCCATTTTTTTGCTCATCTCTTGCGTGTAATATTACTCTAAGTCTCCACTTTGCTGCAGTTTTCTTGCTGCCCTCAGTCTTCTCTGGGATGAATGATTTAAAAAAATGCTCGACTTTACTTCCGGGGTTCCAACCGTATTTTATTCCACAGTGTCTGTGTTTCCTCGCTAACTCCTCTGTCTCTTTTAGGGTGAACAGTTGAAAACAACAAATTAAAACACTTGCTTATCTTAGTTTAACAATTTAGTGAGGATTTGACGATCAGAATCGTTACCAGGCTTCTGCAGAGCTTGCTGATGAGTTGATCATTTGAATCAGGCGTGTTGGAGGAGAGACACATCCAAAATATGGCGGATAAAAGCCCCTTGAGCGTTGGAGTTGCCCATCCCTGGTTTATATGTTGCTCAGATATTAGCTTTCATCGTCAGATCAAATTTTAGTATTAAAATATCTGCAAACACATTCGCCTGTTTTTCCATGATAACGCCAGAGGGTCTTGGAATGAGAATTTCAAAGTCATTTACAAATCTAACATGTGGAGTTAACTTTCACCCGTTCACGGATCAAATGTCACTTTGAGGCTAAGGAGGTTGAACACGGAAGACCAAAGTGCAAGAAAAGAGAGATTAGCTCCAATTTCTTCTTTTTTTTTTTTTCTCCTTTGCTTGTCGCTTGCCTTCTCCCATGCAAGTCATGCAGGCGATCAGCATGTCCACCATGGAGTCAGTCACCCGGGCGGCAAACAAGCCAAGCGCTCAACTTCTTTTCAGTGGGGCCGCTGGCACGGGACCAAGTAATGCCACCAAACAAAGAGCTAGTGTCTTGCATCACTTCCCCTCCGAGAGGCCATCCAGGCCACAGCCTCTTATCACCAGGCACTGCCAGTCCAGCACAGTGGCCTCTTTGCGAGCCGTTCTCACATTATACGGCACCATGAGACCACTCTGCTCATGTCATACATCCCACCAGTGGGGCCCCAAAAGAGCTCGCGCGGCGCTTTGTCATTCGCACCGCCACACAAAAAAAAACGTCTTACAAAGAGAAATGAACTTGAAAGAAAAGAAATATTAAAACTACTCACTTCCTCAGTTGGGACTTGGAAGGGAGAGGGTAACTTTCATGATGCTTTCTTTTGCATGCTATTTACATTACCACACTTTGGATGTCACAGCTAAGCTGTGCAGTTGAAAAAAAAAAAAAATATATATATATATATATACATAGTGTTTTCTTCTTATTAGCTGAGAATTAATTGCAATTTTTGTCAGTTAAATAGAGCTCTTAACATTTGTGTACCTGTACATCAAGAATTATTTTGTTTTAGTGTGTCAGTTACATTA